GCGGCAAATGAATTCGCCAAGAGCGCCGAGCATCTTTCTTTTCGGGATGGTGGCAGGTATAGACCCGCTTGCCTGCCACAGCTGCCCTTGCCTCGCGTCAAAGGAGTATAGGTCCAATACCCTGTGAACCTAATTGCGCATTTAACTCAGGTGCCCTTGTCTCGCGTCAAAGGAGTATAGGTCCAATCCTGAAATTTTAGAGCCAATGAAGCTAAAATTTAAAAAAATAAATAATTATTCAAATACATGATGTCCTACTGACATTCAGCTGCTGAGACTTCGGCACGAAATTGAAAAAAAAATGAAACATAATTTCTTACCTTCATTATTACCTTGTAATTACTGAACCTACGACTGCGAAATAAATAACAGTTTTTCTTCAACAAATAATTTATGAGTCTAAACTTACTTAGTGCCTCCCTTCAGAATTTCCCTTACCTGTAGGCATACTACAAAGGGGTATTCGCGGAATGCCATATATCAATGGTTTCGTCAGAAAATGCCGCTGATCGGCACAAAAATATAAACAATCTTTCTCCGGACAATGGCCGAACGTTACAACGTTTTGGATGAAATTAAGGAGTTAAATAAGATTAACGTCCACCCGAAAGTATGCCTGGATTTTTATGCCAGAAGCCGGGATTTCTAAAGATGGATCTGGGGCGGAGAGGGATGCAGCGCACTTTTTCTTTTGCCTCGCACATCAACAGCTGCATAGTGCTTTCCTACACGACCAAGGAAAATATAGAACCACGTATGCCTTACATTCCTAGAGTCGCTACGTATTCCAAGCATAGAAATCCTGTCACTGCCTCTGCCACGGTGGTTCGCTGGAAACAAAGACTCCCAGTTGGAAAAAAAATTCACCCCGGTCCGAGCCCGACCACGCCAGTCATTCTGGGGTGGAATGTTTCTCCTAAAGAAAGCAAACATAAATATTTCGTAGCTTAGCGATATTGGATGTGCTATGTGACCATTGTTTCCACACCCACAGAACTCACTGAGCCAGATATCATATCCATATCGCTCGAGGAACATGCGCTGAGCCACTCGGTGCCTTAATCCGACGTTCTTGACGTTCGCGCGCGCTGTGGTTACGTTTGGTCACGTCAGATTGGCGATGCAGTTCACCACGACATGACATGAGAATCAGCGCGCGGTGTGCACAGAGATTTCAGCAATTATACCCTTAACCTATGTTTGTTCCCTGACCCACTCTGCTCTCTTCCTGGCGCTTCAGGTCACACCTATCATTCTCCTTCTTTGAATGTTGTAAGCCTCCAGGTTTCTGCTACGTAGGTAAGTACCGGTAAGATATGCAGCTGTTATATTCCTTCCTAATGAGGAATATTGGTAGACTACCATTCATAATTTGAAAATTCTTGCCGGATGTGTTTCACCCCATTCTTATTATTCTAGTTATTTTACCCTCATGGTTCGAATCCGCGGTTACTATACCTGTCCTAAGTATAGACTACATAACAGTTTCCAGTGTCTCGCCACCTATCACAAAGCGTTTTCCTCTGCCGAGACTGTTGCGCGTTATTCTACTTGTATGCATATTAGTCTTCAGACCTACCCTTCTTTCCGTGTCCAGTTCAGAAGAAGAATAAATGGGCATAGACCGGGTAACTGACTGATTTCCCAGAGAAGGCAAGCACGCGAGGAGAAGAGAAAGTTAGGTGGGCAGATGATATTAAGAAGTTTGCAGGAATAATGTGGCAGCAGAAAGCACAGGACCAGAAGTTTATTGCCGGAACACGGGTGAGGCCTTAGCCCTGCAGCTGGCGTAGTCAGGCTGATGATAATGATTCACAGAGAAGTGTTGTGCGACTGATGAGCTTCTGCACACGCAAGCTGGTGACAGCTTTACCACGTTGGCGTATAAAGGGCTGTCCAGACCAAATGGACTCTGTATACCACCTGGGCCACAGTTTCAAGCGACGTGCCGCTTGTGCTTGGAAGCTGTCCGGCACGCCATAGGTGCTCGCTCACTTCTGCGGCGGTGTTCGAGCGCTCAGAAAAGAGGCGGGAGGAGCTCGAGATTCCTTTTGCGAGTTGCGACCGAGCTATAGATGCGCTTGTATCGCGACCTTCTCTTTCTGTGCCGTACGTTTGCAATTGCATAGCATATTCAACCTTCGTTAGTGGTCGACAAATTGCCCCGCCGCGGTGGTCTAAACCCGCAAGTCGCGGGATCGAATCCCGCTGAGGCGGCTGCTTTTCCGATTGAGGCGAAAATGCTGTTGGCCCGTTTGCTCAGATTTGGGTGCACGTTAAAGAAAGAACCCCAGGTGGCCCCGCCGCGGTGGTCTAGTGGCTAAGGTACTCGGCTGCTGACCCGCAGGTCGCGGGTTCGAATCCCGGCTGCGGCGGCTGCATTTCCGATGGAGGCGGAAATGTTGTAGGCCCGTGTACTCAGAATTAGGTGCACGTTAAAGAACCCCAGGTGGTCGAAATTTCCGGAGCCCTCCACTACGGCCTCTCTCATAATCATATGGTGATTTTGGGACGTTAAACCCCACATATCAATCAATCAATCAGAACCCCAGGTGGTCGAAATTTCCGGAGCTCTCCACTACGGTGTCCCTCATAATTATACGGTGGTTTCGGGAAGTTAATCCCCGGATATCAATCGATCAGTGGTCAGCAAATCAAGTGTCCCTGAAAGCAGTCAGCATGCCTAGAGGTAACCATTCTATGACCCAAGCAAATGCTGAGAAGTGATTAAGAATTAAAAAAAAAAGCGAGAAAATGAGCCCGGTTCAGTGTGCATACATGTCGTGGCACTTGAAAAAGCAGGGCGCGGCCCCGAGCGGAACGCGAAAATGAAGGTTCATATTGGCGCCCCAACACAGCGGTCTCGAAAGAGAAACGCGGGCCGCACGAAATAAGCGCAGCACAACGGCCCTTGCAGTCTCACTTGGCAATCTGCCTCTCCCCGCTCCAAGGTCAAAGCGGGGACACCTTTGCTGAATGCACAGTGTTTGGCAAAACGCTTTGGCAACATCCTGCTGAGGCCACCCGGAGCACTCAACCTGTGGGGGCGCAACACTGAAAGGGGATAAGCGGCGATTAAATAATAATAATAATAACATGCGATTATGAGGCATGTCGTGGCACAAGACCCTAGAATAATTTAGGACTTCTAACAAGCACCCCTCAATTAAGACGATAGTTATAGCGCAAAAGCAGAACGACGACAAGGGACACAAAGGTCGCCGTTTTGCTCTCGCGCTATAACTATCGTCCTGGCATACCAACTAGCCCAAACCGCCACACTCCTAAATTAAGGCCCACAAGCGTTTTTCAATCTCATCGAAATCCAATCGCCATAGCAGTGATCTCGTGGCTACCATGGCGGTTGAGGACATGACTCTCACGAATGTCTCGATATCCGTGAGAAATTTAAGATGCGCCAGAGGCAGCTTCAAACGTGAGCACAGCTAAGCTCAGGCGACTGATTACGGAGCCGCAAAATGTAGCCCCGCCGACAAACATGCTTCTCGCGTACCGCGGTCAACTACTTCGGGTGCGCGAAACAAGCGCTGCAAATGTTCGCTTAAATTTCTGCAAAAACTCCCCCGGTCAACTGATCTACACAAAACAAAAGCGAGGTCCCTCGTCTACGCCGAAAGGCACATAGGTGACGCTAGCGTGCGATATCAAGCGCTGCGTGAAGCAACCGTATCAGGAAATGCCGTGCTTTCCGCAGAGCTCCTATGCTATGCAACAAAGCCAGGGCTGCGGAAGCTCCAAACGGAACAAACTCAGCCTCTCTAACATCTTGCTGTCTCTCCCGACCACGTTAAGTAGGGAACTTCATGAAAGCACTGTCACTCAATTTAGAGAGTACTTGGTAAAGTGGTCCGCAATGGGACGGCGCGCATAACGGCTATGCATCACAAGTCGCATGCAGTAAGTCCGCTCGTTGCCAAACCAGATATAGCGAGTCATTAGAGCGTAGAGTCCGCGTCGCTGCTGTAAGCAGGGGAGGGGGTCGCGCAATCGACGAAAGCGCGTTTGGTTGCAGTGTGGGGCAGTTGCTACGGCGTCAGCGCTATACGCGACCTTGAAACTGTCATGCAACGTCGAAGGGACACGCCGAGCTCACCAACGAGCGAGCGTACGCTGGCCTCCCGAAATAGGCGGCCGCGTATTCTCGGAAATAACCCGCGATAGGCCGGCGAACAAGCGAATGCGCGCAGGCACTGGCGTAATGAAGCCCGAATTAGTGAAACCGCGCTACGGTGGGCATGATCTCCCTCCTTCTCGCGCGTATCGCACGCTCAATGCGATCCGCACCCGGAGATGTCGATAACTACAGTCGCGAATGACGCGCGCCGCAGCGTAGCAGCTGCGGGAATTGCACAAGACTGAAAAGTCCACTCGAATTGTTCGCGAGACTAATTATTACGGGCACCACCAAAATTCCTCCGATGGAGATCATTTCGGCGGCGAAGCTGCGCGAAGAAACCCAGTGTGGAATCCTGCCCCGTTCGCGACGGACAGTCTGCTGGAGAAGCACGCTCGCCAAGGCTGGCTGCGCGGACCAGGGAACGCCCCGGAACCCCCTTCTTCGCCCCCCACAACAGCCGAGCTGGCTAATCCGTTGGCGCTCTCCGCGCGGAGCCACTCGTGCTGCTCATATGCGGGGAAGAAACAAACAAAACTAACGGCGTTCCGTCACTGCATATGAATCGAAGGCATCAGCGACAATGAATACAAACACAACTACACGTAAATCAAGCAAGCGTTTCTAAGATCATGCATATATCTTTTGGGCACACAGAGTGAACCGAATTTCACTGCATCCATTAAAAAGCACTGTGTAGCACGATGTACTACACGATTTCACGAAAGTTGGGTCGACCGAAATCGAAGCTAGATACAAGGCGTATCGATGAAAAATTACCGTGTTGGACCTTCGAATGACCCAAACTGTAGCGGTCACCTCCGCGCCGTTACAGGGCAAGTGAACGCTAACTACATGGGCTTACCCTTGTCAAAATGATGTTCCTAGCGAAGGCAGCAGTCGGCACTGGTCAGCAGGAGGACTTGCAATGCATTTAGTACTCGAAAAACAGCGTCAGTAGGTGCCACAACAAAGCGTTCCGTCAGCTAGCGACTCTCGCACAGTGAACACACAGCTGAGGCAACTTTTTTGCTATTGTTGTTGTTGCCGAGCGCTCGACAGTTGTCAAGGGGGGACGCTACGATTGGCCGTAGGTGCCCTGGGCAACCAATCAGCGTCGACCAGCTGATCGTAGGTCACGTGACGACGCACGCTCCCTAGAGCTCACTTATGACGGCAAAAACACAACGGTGAAAAAAAAAAAAAAATGAGAGAGGAGTGGAAAAGAGAAAAGGAAAACCGAGAGAGAGAGAAATGAAAAGTAGATAAAAACGCTTTTCAGAAGTTCGTTTTCCGTCGGATGTGACGTTTTAGGTAATTGCGAAAAAACGTTTATTAAAAATGCGCGCAACGCATTAAATAGCATCGGTTTAATAGCCAACTGTCGTCGCATATTTATTATATATACATAGAATGTTGACTTACAAGAAACACTGCGGTCAAACGTTCACAAGCAAAAGAGCACGTCTTTTTCCGGGTGCTTTCTGCTGCCGCATTGGCGCAGTTTTCGTGTCAAGGCCAATTGATTCCTCCGCTCAGCGCGAAAGGCTCAGTTCTACGGGCGCAGCTGCTTCTCGTGGTCGGAATCTCCGAGCCCCTTTCATTTTCCAGCGACAGGCATGGCTCATCTGGACAAGCTGAGTACTAAGGAGTTGGAGGACATCCTCTGCCAACTCTGCACCGACGAGAACATCAAAATCGCCGCCTCGGGAGACGACGACTCCAAGAAAAACCTCGCCAAGAGCGCCGGGTCAGCCATCGGCGGCAAGATGCTCAACAAGCTGGGCGGATTCGGTTCGTATCTCGTCACTAGTTAATTCCCCCTACACCTCCTTTTTTTTAATAGAACGCGCGGTGGCAGTTACGGGTGATGGTACATCCCATTGGGCTTTCACTTGCGCATGATGCGCCTGCATTCCTAAGAGGTGATAGATCGACGCACTTGGCTCGCGCCTCGTGACCTTTAGCATCTTCGGTGCGTTTTCAGTGACAGATGAGAGTCAGATCTTTGTGCACCGAACCCAGGAATGTCGACACTGATTAGATAATTTAATACTGTGACTCTGACGCGGTTCTGTTCTGGCCACAGAGCCGACGACAGAAACGTTGCTGTGGACACGCCCTGTCGTTATCTGGCGGTCTCGCTAGCTTTTCCACTAGCGTGGAATCTGGCAACCTCTCTTTTTTTTTAAATAAATCTTTACTACTACTGCTACTACTACTACTACGACCCGAGACGTTTCTTGTATTAAGCCGGTGTGAATTCTGCAGTTTTCAGTGCACCAGTAGAGGTTTTTATGTATTTTTTGTTTGCGTTTCAATTTAGCATAATTTGCTCTTCGGCCCTTCGCACCAAACTTACAGAATGCGCGCGACAATGAAAAAAAAAAACAAAAACAAATCACCTCTGCGCCCTCCGCATCTAAAAAAAAAAAAGTAGTGCATTCGATCGCAAGTCATCGTCTCCAACCAACGCCTCCTAGCATCGGACCAACGGTGGTTTTGTGATCCGTGGCGTAGCCATATGGAGCTTGTTCCCTTGCTGTATAATTTTATACCATCACAAATGTTTTGCGCGGTTTTGGGGGTGAGAGTTACAGAATGGTTAAGCGCACCTACAATTTCTCTGCCGGTATTTTTTTTTTGCACACTCTTTTGTTGCAGACGCACCTGTCGGACGAGCGCGTACGATGAGCCATTTATGCATGAGTATCAATCGTCTTCGTGCTCAATTCTGCTTGAAATATCATAAGACGTCATTTCAACATTGCATATCGTGCCCGTACGGTAATGCAGTCGCTGCTCCCTTGACCAACGAGTGCGCGCTTTTCCGTGTGCTTCATCCGATTGCCATGAGAATCGAGGAGCTGAGGAATGCTTCACTGAACAAGCAGGGTACGCGACTGTGAGATGTTACCGTCTGTATTTTTAGCTGTGCGGAACCTGTCTGCAGAATTTCTTTCCTTGCAGTATAAATGGAACGGGAGGGACGGTCGGGAAGGAAGCGACCACGTTGCTGCGAACTGTAGGAGACCCCGCCTGCGGCTCAGGCGTTTCGTTTGTATCGTCAAACTCTAGACGTTGCCGTGAAAAAAAAAAACTAAATATGTCTGACGAATTTCTTCATTCTGGGCTGTGGCGCGGGAGTTCCAAGGCTGACGTCACAGCGTCGGCAGTGCATTTTGGGGATAGCCTAAAAAGGATTATAGCAGCGTCCAGGAAGCCTTCTGTGAAAGTCGAAGAAACACCTTTCTGTACTGTGGCGCGGCAGTACAAACGCTGACGGCACAGCCTCGGCAGTGTATTTTCGGGGGGTCGCGCCTATGCTGCACAGCCCAGAGGGGATTGTGGCGGCGTCCAGGGAGCTTTCTGTAAAAACGTACTACTACATAAATGAGGTGTTTCGCGGCGTCCAGGGAGCTTTCTGTAAAAACGTACTACTACATAAATGAGGTGTTTCTTCTCTGCTGTGACGTGAACGGTTAGGCGGCGGAGGGGAGAGCGCGCATCGAGGAACCCTAGAACGGTTGAGCACGGCGTGCCATCTATCGGTACGATGCGACTAGGACAGAGGCATAGGATAATGAAGGCGCGGCCCAGGATCGCATAAATGATGCTATCCACGTAACTTTCCGGAATGGCCTCGAGCTTCGCATTCCGTGTGACGAAACTCCGTCGGAGATAAGTGGCGCGCCGACAATTGAGCGAATCGTTTGACCGCCTCTGCTCGTCACAGCGCGGCGACCGCACCTGAGTCACATTTTCACGAACTATGCGGAAATTCTCTCTTCATAAGTCGATGGTGGGTGTTCTCCGATGCCCTCGGGTATTTTCAACGTGGTACGTTTGGCACAATTTAGTTCTCCTCGATAATCGCAGAAAGAGCGCGGCTCGTTCGGCGCTTTTTATTTCATTCTTTTTTCTTTTTCTTTTTTTTATAACGCAGCTTGCACGATATCCCGCGGCTGAATTGGATCATTCGGCGGCTGACTTTTTCGATTGTGCACAGCGTGTGCGGTCGGAAAAAAAAAAAAAAAGCCACGTATGCTGCTGCTTTCGCTCTGCGCAATTCACGAGGCAGTTTAATTGAATTTGTTGTCGGATTAAAGGAAACAGAAAAAAAAAAAGGGCGGGGGGTAGAGAGAACTCGCTCGCCGTGTCGGCGCCATTACGAGTATGGGGGGGGGGGGGAGCAAAGCGACTGCCTCACTGGTTATGCATAGCTCCGCGTTGCACGGGAACAGTACAAGTGGCCGAATGGGAATAGGGACATGTAGCTTTTACGTATACTTTTTTTTAACGTTACCGTGTTACCGAAATACGGGATGGCGTTTACCGTTTAAACCGGAACGCGCGTTTGCTGCAGTTTTAGCTCCCGATACGTAACCGTTTACGGTAAGCTGGCTGAAACAAGGTGATGAAAATTCGCACTTGACTTAATTTGAGGCGGCTGGAGTATCCGCAAAGCGAATATCGCGCGTAGGTGGATGCGACGTTCATAGAACCTGCAGGTTCCATAGGCGTTGAGTGGATCGAAGGTGGATTCGCGGGACAGGGTCGTAAACGTAAGGCCTATTCGGCGGGTTCCGTAAAGTAGTGGGCGAGGGTTGACTAAGGGCAGAGCGTAAGCCAGCTTGACGGGGGAAACCTGGTACGTGGGTGGGATATGTAGTCGCTAGGAAACTGGGCGGGCTCAAGTGATGCGTAGGACGCCGCTGCCTCCATATGCAGCGCCGGCGGCTGAACGCGGAAGGCAAAAGCGCGAGTTCACATTCCATGCCGACGCTGCTGTGGTAGGGACCAGGGGAAACAGATTGTTTTTTACTCGCCGAACGAGGACGCTCAAACAGAGGCGCACCGCGCGATAAGGTTTTTTTTTTTTTTTTAGTTCACGCATACCAGAGCGTACAATACTACCGCGCAAACAGAACACGCACAAGAAAGACACGGCGCTTACTAAGAATAGCCTGATCCGCTTGCTGGTATAACGCGTTGACGCGCATCTTTCTACAGAGAACATGACGGAAAATGTTGCTAAGAATTGACACAACCTTTTTATTATTTTTTTTTCGAATACATAAAGACCCCATAATAGTATGCCTTAGAATTGATATCACTCATGTGGTTTAATTTACATGCCTAAACAGCAGATCATCATGAGTCGCACCGCGTGCAGATTGCGGGCGGAAGAGGAGAGATAAATTAGGTCACCTGAGTGTCTAAGTTGGCATGAATGTTTTTTTTTTTTTTTTTTGCATATCGCCCATATCGAAATGTGGCTGGGAATCAAACGCGCGAAAAACCCAGAAAATATTCTGGAGAAGAAACGGTGTACGAAAGGCGCTGCTGGCTGCCGCCGTAGGTGACCACATGAATTGATTAATAGCACATATAACTAATAATACAATATCTGGGATTTTACATACCAAAACCACGATACGAGTATGAGAGATGCCGCCGCGTTAGGAGCGAAATAATATATGAATATATATATATTCATTCATAAAGTTTTTCCAATGGGCCAAACGTAATTGGGAAGAGAAGAGACACAACTTAGCGGTTGCAAACCCTGACGACGATCGGTCCACCGGTCGAAACCGTTGGAAATAAAATTAAGGCAACCGCTAAGTTGTGTGTCTTGATATATATATATATATATATATATATATATATATATATATATATATATATATATTCGCAGAAAATTGTGCGCCGTAATTAACACGATTAAAAAAGAAAGTTATTTCGTATAAGCATCGGCGAGCTGTATTTCTCGGGGTGTTTGGCAAACCAGAAACTACGTTATATGATTAAGCGGCGCGCCGTAGGTGGAAAGTTAATTTTGGTCGCCTTGGTTTCTTTGATGTGCACCTATAATCTGAGTACTCCTGCATGTCGCGTTCTTACATTTCGCTCCTAACGCGGCCATAAGTCGAACCCGCGACCTGGACCTCGACAAAACTGCGTTTTTTAATTGCATTCGGTCTTGCAAGCTACACTCTATTCAGCTCCTTCACAGGGACGCGAAGGAAACCACGACCACCGTGGCATAGTAATTTGAATAAATTAATTGTATGCGACCGATGATGATCGTTCGGGGGACAAGTTCCAACAACGTAATGATATCGCGTAAAAAAAAAAAACCTTGCTAAAGTATGGGTGGACATTCAGAAACAATGCCATCGGTTCGCGTACCATCGGGTTGGTCGAGTCGCAGAGAGAACGAGCTCAGCAGTAAATGCACAAAAATGAAAGTGACGCGATGAAGTCATTTGCAAAAAGAGGTTGCCATTGGTCCACGGCTTTCCGGGAAGTAAACAGTTCCTTGAATCTAAGATCAGGAGTCTTTGGTCGCCAATATCTTCAAAAACAATGCCTAGCCAGAACCTAAGCATTAAAAAATTCAGTGAAAGATCTCGCTGCGTACAGGAATGGAAAGGAATTGCCTGCCCCCCCCCCCCCCCCCAAGTAAAAGGTAAACGTGTGTAATAAGTAATAGGTAAACCGTTAAAACGCCCATAGGTAAACGTGTGCGCGCTGACTGCTCCGCTCGTGAAGACCTGTCGTGCGCGGCCCCTGAGCGACGGGCACGGTGTAGCGGTGGGCGACGCGCTCCACACCGTTGCGCAGTGGTCCATTGTTGAGCAGTTTCCTTTTTGTAGCTGGCGTACTCGCGGCAGCGCGACTTCCGTTGCTTCACGACAGGTCGCGCTGTTGGCGACGGCGACGAAAACGACAGGGTCAATACTAGCTGCCTCCCACAGCTTCTATGAAAAAAAAATGCTTTATTCCGAGATGCATTTGTCTATGGTGAAACAGCCGTGCGACATTGCATTCACCCTCGTCGGGCATTTCTCCCTGCCACCGGTTTGTTGCTTGCACTAAAGTGAAGCGATAAATCTGTTTATGAATTGCACTCTGAGAACTCCAATGTTGTTCATTGGGGAAAAATCGAGTGCAAAGTATCATTTTTAAATTTCGCGCCAAAAGTTATGTCATGCATTTTAAAATGCATTTTTCATATTTTGGCGACATTTTCCGAAACTTGGCATGTCAAGTCTATGGCCCTCTTACAAAACAATATACTTTTTACAGATTAAGAATTTAATCATAATTACTAAATCTTAATATACTTAATTTTTACAGATTAAGATTGCAGGGCCCTGTCGGCATCCGCAAACTCGTTGACGTCACGGCATTTGATGCGGGAATTTCAAGGCGGCGTCGCCAACTGCATTATCTTTTTGCACGTTTTCTCGCTTATACCTATAGTCTGCTCACGGCAATCGCGGCAGTGATTTCAAAATTGTGACAAAGTAATATATTAGTATGAGAAAATTTGTTTCTTTTTATTGTCCCCTTAAACCAGACTTTACATTATATTGCTTCTTTTAAAATGTAATTGATTGCAGTAGTCAGCTAGAGCCCTATAAAGTTAACTGAGCATTTACAGAAATATAATAAATTTCTTTTGGTTACTTTATTATCTTATTTCCATAACACAATAACCAAAGTTCATTCAAATTACCAGCGCCTTGCATGGTAGAGAACGCTGGATTTTTGTGGGAAGGCTGGGAGGCTTACCAGTGGCTTCTTAATTGTGTTACATATTGTTAACTTTCAACAGTTGTTTTTCATAGTTGCAGTTGCCATAGGCGTGAGCACAAGGGGGGCAGGCTGGCGCCCCGCCCTGGTCACCTAAGAGGGGGGGGGGGGGGACAAACACAGACTTGTACATAGACATATCAGGGAGGGGGCATAATATTAGTCCCATACATTGACGAAAATAGGTAAGGGGTGCTGCTACGAACCTTTGCTCCCCCCCCCCGAAGGTGAACTCCTGCACACACCTATGGTAGTCGCTAATTATTTCATGTTTCCTTGTTGCAAGGCCTGCTGCCACACTGACAAATCTTTAATTAATGCATATGCTGAAGACAAGGCAGTATTTTAGCGTAGGAACATCAAACGCACCAGTTCGTAGTTGTGCAGTTATTTGAGGACTGCCAGTTGGGCATATTGGTACAAGTTCATGACAAAACAAGTGTCAATATGTACAAAGACTTTGAAAAGACACAGGTTGAAAGCTTTCTAGCAACTGAAGAATTTTTATTCTGGAATGAAAAATCTTGTATATGCATAACACGTATGCACGTCTCCACAAACCATCCCTATTATCACCAACAAAATAAAACAGCGAAAGACCACTCCCACAACCGATGGCATACAGCCAGAAAAACACGTGTTACGCCCCCCAAAAAACAAGGAAAAATCAAGAAAATAGAGTCATGTCCAAAAAAGTGAATTCAGGATCTGTTAGCAGAACAGACACCTGGATGACATACTTGTCAACCCCTTTCTTAATTCAAAACATTTCCATTATTTCTCTTGTTGTCCACTTCTTATGCTTGTCAATTATTTGTGTGTCAGAAAGTTTTGGCAGGCAAAAGCGCTCCTTGCAGTGCATCGCGAAGTGCGAGTACGGGGGCCCCCTTTAGAGAACTCTGATGTTCACGGAGGTGCACGTTCAGGCAACGACTTGTTTGACCTTCTTCAAATGTGTACCTTCATGAACATGAGAGTTCACTAAAGGGGGCCCCGTACTCGCACTTAGCGATGCACTGAAAGGGGTGCTCTTGCTATCATATACACCTAGCATTGTGCAGCTGTGTACAAACAAGTGGTACAGTTGCACTGAATCATGCTGCAATGCAGAAAATGAGGGGCTGGCTTAGTAGATCTTGAGTTTGCATCTCAGATTATTTATATCGTTGGGGTTAGAATGTGCAGTGAGACTATAGCAGATAAGCTAGACTAGTGCCCCAGTAATGTGTGTGTTTGTGTACATGGGCAGGAAGCATGTTTAGTGGTGGCTCCAAGGACAGCAAGGACAGTGGCAGCAGCGGAAAGGAGGCGGAGATGCGCCCGGCCGCCGATGTGATCAGGGAGCTGCCCGAGAAGGAGAAGGACGAGCTGGCTGACACCATCCAGAGCACCATCTCCAAATTCGGAGACTTCAAGGACCCGCAGGCACTTCTGAAGCTCATCACTGAGAATGCAATGGTCAAGCAGCTCATCACTAGTGCTGTCAAAAATTTCCTTGGCAACTTCCTCAAAAGCGCTGGCGGAGGTGCCGCCTGAGTCCTGGGCTGCACAGTTCTCTCCCTTACCCCGACCCTCTGCTCCTCAAGGGGGCAAGATAGCTGCGCTTGTTGGTGTTGTCTTCTTATGGCTTGCTCTGTAGCAGCTGCTTTCCAAACCGCCTCCTCCCTGTCTTTACAGCCCAAAGCTGCTGCACTGCCTTTTTCCAGGGCAGTGTTGCCAAGCTCAGGAAAAAATTATTCCACGAGATGCCACCGAGCTTGCTTCAAGAAGTTGCAAATTTGCTCGTGTCCTGTGATGTAAGCTTGCGCGCTCTTTCTCGTCCACATATCTTAATTTGCCATGTTACGTGCCGATTTCCTGGTTTAATAAGGGTGTGTTCATTTCTGGTTGGCAGGAGTATGATTATTCTCACAATACAGTTCGAGATACCACGAGATTGCGATTATTCCACGGGGCAAAAACATCTCGCTCAATCACAAAACATGGGATATTTAAATCCCGTGATTTCCCACAACCTTGCATTTTTTTAGAGGATGTTTTCGACAAAAAACTTTTTTCCTATCTTTAACATCTTGTGTGTGTGTGCATATATATATATATATATATATATATGCACACACACACACACACACTAAATTAACCGACCAACAAAACCTAAGTAGATGGCCCATAATATCTCAGGGACTGCATTAACAATGCTTTGCCATGCATGCTTGCACACGTTCTCTTTAAAAAAAGATTGCTTATTTTGGTTGGAACTTTTGTTGCCCTGAATTTCATTTTTTTTATATATGCAAACATTCATTATTATTAGGTGGTAAAATCCAAATAAAGTTCATCAGTCATACTGTGCCCATATAAAAGCAATACTTGTTTGATGTTTTGAGCAAATTATAGTGAAAAAGAACAGCTTATTCTATGGACAAGACAACGTGCAGCACTACAGCCACGAGTACCAAAAGCTATTTTTGCTGAACCATTTGCCACTGTGACAAAACAGCCTTAACAAATACAGGAAACAAAGTAGTATTTGATATCTGTAAAATTTCGGATTGCATAGCTTTTTTGTTTATATTTATTTTGCTTGTTCTGCCGTGCACAGTCTCTTCTTCAATGGATACACTGCCATTGTTTGTGTTGGAGAGGAGTGAGCAATCGCACTTTCTTTTTTCTTAAAGGGACTGTCTACCGCTCAGAAAAGTTTGTCTGATTGTGGTGCAAATGACAAGATTTTTCATCATATTGCCGACAACAAGCATGCCTTTGTCCTATAAAAAAAAGATTAATTTTAACTTGATGTTGAAAGTCGACAAAAAATGTGGTAAATCTACTTGTAGGACAAGAAATCTTTGAAGGTAGACTTAATTAGCCTAAAAACAAACATGTAAAACTTGAAATTGCATTTTACGCACTTGAGTCAAGCTTTAAGTTGCAGCAGAGACTAATTTTTGCTTTTTTTTTCTCACGCATACAAAGAGGTGCCTAGTGGCATTGCCGGCAATGTGTTCGCTTGCCTGCATGCCTGCCTGCAAACAATGTTAACGCAAGCACGGCGTTCGCTGCCGCTCAGAACAACAAAAAAGTGTGTATGTTCTTTAAACGACCACTAAGGTATTTGTTTTAATAATAATAAACTTGATGGAGCCTGGAAAAACCGCAGACTGTATCAGTTTGCAACTTCCACCACCAGTAATTGTCATCGCCTCCACCGAACAGTGTTGTGGATATTCATCCCACCAATGGAAGGAGACTGAATGCAGATAGAAAATTTTTGTTGTAAAAATTTGTACACACTTTCCAGAGAAACAGCTGCAAAGTTACACTTCAGATGGTACGCTTTTTATTGCGACACAAAACAAAAAAAGCAATGAAGGAGGGTAGACAGTCCCTTTAACAAAATGTAAAAAATGTTGACCGCCCAATTGAGCCTTTTGTGTGCAGCATCAGCATTGTTTATTTAATGTTGTTTACTGAAGTGCAAAAAAATTTATGTGCAGTTGATTTTATACAAGAAAGGCTTGAGAGTACTTGAGACACTAAGCAGTGTACAATCATGAACAATTGCAGATCGATTTTCAGTTATATTTGTATATTGCTGGTTCATGTGTTGACAACCTATTTTCGTTTTGTTAATTAGGTATATTGTTCTGCAGAACTGTGTTGTTATATATTCATACATACAAAAATCTATACTGGCTTTATGTATACACCACATGCTGTTACTTTATGCAGCTATTGTGAGCACTCAAATAAAGTGTCTACAGAAATTGCAAGCTCTTTCTTGTGTATGGAATGCATTACACAGCAACAGGCACAGGAAACTGCTGCTGTAGTAAAGAATTATTAGAAGTGTAAGCACAACATACCCTTTTCTTAATGTACAGACATGGTTTACATTTGTTTAGCTAACAACAGTGCCAGTCAATAATCAAATGAAGACAAAGAACAATTGCATATAGATATTGTGTAATGTATCATATCATTCACATTAACTATTTCACAACTGAGTTTTTCAGTAATCTGAAATGCAACACAGGTTTATATGGCACCAGTGGACTATGACTTTATCACACAATTTGTGCTCTACATTGGCACTGAGCTTGATCAGCTTACCTTCGTGTGCAAGCTGGCCTAGCTGAACACCTAAGGCATAGTATTGCACAATACTGTTTAATCACTAGGATGAACATCTGGAGAAGGTAAAAATGAGGAAAACTTGTTGCTTTTTCTAGTATTTGAAAGCTTTAGTGTAGTAATGTCATATGCCTTCACTGCCATGTCGATTTAGAGTGAATGATCATTTGAGGGAAGATATTAGCATAAGACCAAATGATTTCACGAAATGATTATTTCGTTTCGATTTCAAGAAATGAATTGGCAGCACTTGCTTGGCATTCATTGGGCTACACTGCACTGGAAGCACAGGCTTCAGTGTGGCTTGAACATGAAGGCACACACCAGCATCATCGTCTTCATTGCCTTTTGGTAAGCTGAAGCATCGAGGTGTTTTAAAGTAGCTCCGACATCATGCCCAGTTGGTAGGGGACCATTTATATGTTTGGTGTCAGTGGAAAAGCTCGTTAAAGTAGTAAGATTTTAGGTGAGAAAGATGGGCACCGTCACTTCACAGTATGGAAGTTGATAACTTGTGAGCCTGTGGAGGGATATCACAGGTGGCAAATGCTGCTTGATACAGGACTCTGTATGACTCAATGAAGCTCAATAGAAACTTCTCACAAATGCCCACATGGCATACAGCTGCGATATTTGGCAAGATTTTTGTGAGGATGGGTAGCACTTCAGTAGTTGTCAGTAATGCGAGACAAAAAGCAGCAATCATGATCTGCGAGTAAGTTTCAGGAGCACTGCGCTGGAGGGCGATATACAGCAAGAAATAGGCTATGCCAGTCGTACAGCTGATTGGCAGCACTCAAGTGATTTCATACTGCACGGTATGATCTATAGTGACCACTACCCAATGGTTTCTCGTGGTCAAGTATGGAAAGCGCAATGCTAATCTAGCCTCATGAGATAAAACTGTTTGGTAGGGATTCCATAATTATGTACAGTAACAAATAAAGGCCTCTTTATAAGGTTGTGTTAAAAAAATGTGAGATCGATCTTTTAATCAAGCTCCTGAAGAGGGTCAGTCGGAAATTGACCGTATGTAAGTGAGAACTTCACAGGATGAGAAGAAATACCTCATAAAATGCATACAAGCTGCCCAAATGCTGATGGATAAAATCAACCCATAGGAGAAAGAAGATAAATTTATACATGTTAACTGAACTTGTTAATAATAGCCTGCTTCTGAATATGTACTGATGCGTAAGGCATGATGAAAGCAGCATGCACCTATGCAAGAGCAGGAAATTAGACATTTCAACAAATGCTCTTCTTTCTTCATTACTGGTATTCATTACAAAATTTCTTAACAGCCAAATAATGTGTAAATTTTCCATAGCTTGATTAACCAAGAAGCTAGGTTTGCTGCATGCCAGCTTTAATGGTACTTCCTGTAAACTTTTACTTTTCACAAATGTGCTGAATATTGCCAAATATAACAAAAGATTACATATAGTCCTAATTTCATATAGTACATAGCACTGCACATGGAAGATTTACAATGACAATACTTTACAACATGTCAAAATGCTGTTCATTGATCGATTAGCTCTGGCATGGAAAAAAAGAGAGGTAAGAAGCTGTGTCTCATATGTAGTATTTGCGAACTGGTGGTGCAGCTGTGGTGTTGGACTTTTAATTCAGAGAGACCTCACAGGCAATACTGAAGAATTCTCTAGTATTAACAAAAGGGTAGCAAGCTTCATTATCAAACTAAACAAGCGATATAAACTTAGTGTAGGTGTACACCCAGACATATAATCATGACTGATTGATTGATTTGTGGGGTTTGTCCCAAAACCACCATATGATTATGAGAGACGCCGTAGTGGAGGGCTCCGGAAATTTTGACCACCTGGGGTTCTTTAACGTGCACCCAAATCTGAGTACATGGGCCTACAACATTTCCGCCTCCATCGGAAATGATATAATCATGACTGTGTAAAAGTGAACAGCGATACAAGGATATCGAACTAGCAATAAGACAAGGGCACACCCAGTACACCATAATCATGGGAGACTTCAATGCAAAAATAAAAATAAAAGAAAAAGGGGAAGGGGCAGTTGGTAATTATGGTATTGACTCTAGGAATAGTAGAGATGTTAGCTGAATATCGTGGAGCAGAATAGCCTTTGCATATTAAACACTTTTTCCAATAGCGTAAAAATAAGAATGGGGCATGGAAAATCCCTAATGGACCAAAAAAAAAACGAAACAGAATTTATTCTATGTGGCCAAGCATAATACAGCACATTAATGTCATAAACCAGGTGAAATACAGTAACTATAGGTTAGCAAGGGTGAAAATAGCACTTAATTTGAGACCTCGAGGAAGATTACCTATAAAAAGCACCCAACCCTGATGTAATAAGAATAAAATCAGGAGATTTTAAGATTAAGGTCCTAAACAAACATGCAGCTTTAAGAGAAGAAAATAACACTGACATCTAAGCAATGAACGAAGCAGTAACTAGACTGATTTCTGAAGCAGCTGCAAGTTGGAGAAGCGCCGAGACAAGAACTAAGCAAGCTTTTCGAATACACTAAACACTCAATAAAAAAATAGCAACACATGAAGGGGACTAACTGCATATCTAAAATAGAGTTGGCTGAGCTGACAAAGGTTATCAACAAGATGCAAGTCCATGGCATTCCTCAACATCCAAGCAATAGAAACCGCAGTAAAAAAAAGGGCACTAGCATCAGAGCTGCAAAAAATAAACTTTGTATAGGAAGAAACAAAATGCACGCTCTCAAAGACAAGCAGGGAAATATAAAAAACTTCAATGACATAGTTTTGGTGGCAGAAAAATTCCAAGCTGAACTTTATGGTTACAAATATAAGTCATCCAACATCGAGCGGAAGTAGCAACGAGAAAGACATGGAAGTGCCACATGTAACTACTTACGAGACTAGAAAGGCCATAAGAAATATGCCACGTGGAAAAGCAGCTGGCGATGACATAATGAAAGTAAATCAAATTAGTGATGCAAATTTACTTGGTAGAAACCAGCTATGTTTTATACAAGATGGCAATGGTTCCAGCGAGCTGGAAAAATGCTAGCATTATTTTAATTCACAATAAAGGAGACATGAAAGACTTGAAGAACTATAGGCCCGTCAGGTTACTTTCATTGATATACATAATATTTACAAAAAATAATCACAAACAGGATAAGAGGAACACTTGACTTCAAACAACCCAAAGAACAAGTTGCATTGACAAGAACGTACTCTACAGTTGGTCACATTCATGTGCTAAATCAGGTAATAAAGAAAGCTGCTGAATACAACAAACCCTTTTACATAACCTTCAGACTATGAAAAGACATTCAACTCATTAGAGATATTTGCAGTTTTAAAAGCATTAAATCAACAAGGAGTACCTAAATCCCCTGTGAATACCTTAGCTGACATCTACAAATACTCCACAGCTACGTGAATTCTTCACAAAAAAAGTGATAAAATTGCGGTCAACAAAGGAGTAAAACAAGAAGATAATACAACCCCAATGTTGTTCATCGCATGCTCGAAGGAAGTGCTGGTTAAACAGCTAGACTGGGAGGAAACGGGAATCAAGGTAGACTGAGAATGGCTTAACAACCTACAATTTGCAGACAGCATCATGTTTTTCAACAATAGGAATAAATTGCAAAAAAAAAATGATTGACAAATTAAGCCAAGAAGGTAATAAAGTAGGCCTCAAAATGAATATTGTAAAAACAAAAATAATGGGGGATGGCTTAGCAAAACAGAAAGAACTTAAGGTTGAATACCATATATTGGAGTATATTCAAGAATACTTTCACCCAGGACAACTATTCATGGAAGAACCTAATAACAAAAAATAAATTTGCTGAAGAATACGAGTGGGCTGGAACACATTCGACAGGCACTCTCAAATAATGTCAAGAAATCTGCCACTATAATAAAAGCGAAAAGTATACAACCACTGCTTACTGCTGCCAGTTTTGACAAATGGGGCTGAAACATGGAGAATAACAAAACAATCAGAGCAAAAGCTGAGGACCTCTAAGCATGCAGTGGAACGTAGAATGATAGGAACAACATTGAGAGATCAGAGGACGGCAGAATGGGTAAGAGGACAGCAGTTGCAGATATCCTAGTTGACAGCAAGTGAAAAAAAAAAATGGACCTGGGCTGGCCGCGTAATGCACAGAACGAACAATCGGCGGACAGTAAGAGCAACCAAATGGTTACCAAGGGATGGAAAACCCAGTCAGAGAGGCAGATGAAGTGACGAAATTAGGAAGTTTGCAGGGATAAAACAGAAACAGCTCACACAGGATAGGCTAAACTGGGGATCATTGGGAGAGGTCTTCGCTCTGCAGTGGACAAATGCAGGCTGAGAATGCTATGGAGGGCACATCCACTAAGTTTGAACTTTGAACTGCTTCAGATACCATACGATTCCATTATTTCAACAGGCAGTTACGCCAATGCACTTTATTTGCCTTACTGCTTCAAAAACCTCACTCTGTCTTTTTGATTGTTTAAAAAAAATTTACTTTCATGTTCACTTTATTTCTGTAATATCTGATACTACCACCAGTGAGTGTAATGCGGTAAAGGAAACATGATTCATGGACAGCACACTGCAGCCTCATAATGTTGCCACTCGGTAA